GCCAGTGGCAGCCCAGTGGCCAGGCCATACAACAGGTGGGCCCCAAACAGCAGTCAGGGCATGTGTTTGAACTGGGCGTGGGGGGAGGGTGCACACCTAGAAGTTCATATAAAGTTTTTCCTACAGATTAAGAATTGGATGTTATACCCGTTGATTGTAGGGATATGTAGATGATTAAAACTTCAGTGGCCACCAAAAGTTTTTTCTGTAATCCAGATGTGAAGCAGAAAAAATTACTGCTGTGCTGAGTAAATAGAAAAAGGTTGGAGTACAACCAAGAAATGTTTCTTAGCAGCAGCATGTTGGTTCACTGGTATTGCTGCCAGCTGGAAAATACCATATGTAGCAAGGAGCAGGCTCCCCAGGGAAGTGTAGCTTGTCAGCTGTTAGAAAATAACCTCTCTGCTCAGAAACTCAAAAGGTGGGGGATTTAACCAGTCCTTTCTGTGAACCAGAATCAGCGAGACTGTTGCTAACCTTGACCACATGGTAGAGGATGGAGTTCCTTGGCATGTTTTGGTGGTAGCAATGGCATTAGTGATCACCTTCTGCTCAAGCACTGGCAGAGCTGAACAAGGATTAAGTTAATCCTTCAGAGATGAATTTTAAATCATGTTTATCTGTAACTGTTGTTTATTTTAATACTTTTAACTTGAAATCATTCTCTTTTCTAAGAATACTGCTGTATTTACATTTTGATACCTCTTTGCAGAGACACAAAATGCATGTTTGCATGGTGATTCTAGTAGAGTTCTGAGTTTTATTTTTAAATCCTACAAGTAAAGCTCCTCTGCTTGGTCCTTTCCTTCTGTTGAGAGGGAATGATGGACATAATTATTTTGGGGTAGTTAAAGCCAAAGATTTCACTCTGGTAGGAGGGCTGCATATTTCCTATTAAGGCCATATTGTAATGCTGTGCAATTTGCTCTATATTCAAGCTTTTCTTTTAACTATCCCTGCTTACTTATTCACTGCCCCAGAGCACTTAGTAGGTCAAAATGGTAAG